TCTGGTGGCAATGAAGAGGTTTTGGATTGCAGAGGAACAACTATAACCAATCAAGCATCTACACCCTTCAATTGGCATGTACTTGAATTGCAGATTCAATATTTGTTACTGGCGCTATAGCCAAGCATTTACAAGTGGTAACAATAGAGTGTGTAAATACCTGGAGATGTGCAGAAACAATTAGTCCATGCTTTTGCCTCAGTTTTCTGAGGACATTGACTATAGCTTGTTGGCATATTACAGTCAAAACTACTCAAGCATCTACACCCTTCAAGCCTGGTGTATGTAAGCATGGCAGAGTGAGAGAGGCAACAGACCCCCTATAGTTTGGTGTTGTGTAATGATAGCTATCACTATAACCAAACAAATATGTCATTGCAGAAGCAGTGCAGGTTGAGCATCCTTTGGTATCTATATGAAACTAGTCTATACGATTGCCTCAATTTTCTAAGCCTGTTATTAACACCTGCAAAATGTATCAAATAGGGCTAGGTGGTTTTGGATTGCAGGGGTATAACAGCCATAACTAATCAAGCATCTACACCCTTCAAATGGTCATATCAGAATGTGTAAATCCCTGGAGATGTGCAGAAATAATTAGTCCATGCTATTGCCTCAGTTTTTTGAGGACATTGATCATAGCTTGTTGGCATATTACAGTCAATACTACTCAAGCATTTACACCCTTTAAGCCTGGTATATGTAAGCCCAGTAGAGTGAGAGAGGCAACATATCCCATATAGTTTGGTGTTGTGCAATGATATCTATAACTATAACCAAACAAATATGTCTATGCAGAAGCAGTGCAGGTTGAGCATCCTTTGGTATCTGTATGAAACTAGTCTATACTATTGCCTCAGTTTTCTGAGCCTGTTATTAACACCTGCAAAATGTAGCTAACAGGGTTAGAAAATGTGGTTATGCTCCTAGACTGTTGTGTTTTCTGGTGGCAATGAAGAGGTTTTGGATTGCAGAGGAACAACTATAACCAATCAAGCATCTACACCCTTCAATTGGCATGTACTTGAATTGCAGATTCAATATTTGTTACTGGCGCTATAGCCAAGCATTTACAAGTAGTAACAATAGAGTGTGTAAATACCTGGAGATGTGCAGAAACAATTAGTCCATGCTTTTGCCTCAGCTTTCTGAGGACATTGACTATAGCTTGTTGGCATATTACAGTCAACACTACTCAAACATCTACACCCTTCAAACCTGGTGTATGTAAGCACGGTAGAGTGAGAGAGGCAACAGACCCCCTATAGTTTGGTGTTGTGTAATGATAGCTATCACTATAACCAAACAAATATGTCATTGCAGAAGCAGTGCAGGTTGAGCATCCTTTGGTATCTATATAAAACTAGTCTATACTATTGCCTCAGTTTTCTGAGCCTGTTATTAACACCTGCAAAATGTATCAAACAGGGCTAGGAGGTTTTGGATTGTAGGGGTATAACAGCTATAACCAATCAAGCATCTATACCCTTCAAGTGGTCATATCAGAATGTGTAAATCCCTGGAGATGTGCAAAAATAATTAGTCCATGCTATTGCCTCAGATTTTTGAGGATATGCCAACATTTGTTGAGAGCAGTACTGGTGCTACAGCCAAGCATTTACAAGTAGTCATATCAGAATGTGTAAATCCCTGGAGATGTGCAGAAACAATTAGTCCATGCTATTGCCTCAGTTTTCTGAGGACATTGACTATAGCTTGTTGGCATATTACAGTCAACACTACTCAAGCATCTACACCCTTCTATCCTGGAGTATGTAAGCCCAGTAGAGTGAGAGAGGCAACAGATCCCTATAGTTTGGTGTTGTGCAATGATAGCTATAACTGTAATCAAACAATATGTACACCATACAAATGAGAGCAACTGCATGCTTAGGAAGGCTAGTTGGTGGAGTTTTACTAGCCTACTTTTCTTTAAAAGCTTGCATGTACTGTTGAGATAACAGAATTTTAAGAAACAAGGCAAGGATTTATATGTTGATCTCATTAATCAGGTTCTCTTCTCTTCGCAATCCTAATCCTAAGGTTAGGAATTTGTTATTTGTCCATGTTGATAGGTTTTTTTGTTGCATTTGGCCATTCATTAAATGACTGAAATGTGTGTGTACCTGCAAAAGAAAAAGCTAGGTTAGCAAAAAAGTCAGCAACAATGTTCCCTTCCCTTAGTACATACTTAAAGACAACATTATAGTTATTCTTTATATGCTTGATCTTCCTTACTTCAGCACCTATACGCCAAGGATTTGCCCATTCACTATCAATTATCTTCCTCATCACCAATGAATCAGTCTCTATAATCAGTGGATGTAGCTGCCTTTCAACACAGTATGCCAACCCCTCCATAATTGCCTTTGCTTCTGCCACTATGTTAGTTGTCTCTCCTATCTCCTTTGCTTTCGCAAACACCAAATCACTAGCATGATCTCGTACACAAAACCCATATGAGCTTGGTCTAGGATTGCCTCTTGATGCACCATCAGTATTGCATTTGAACCACCCTTCATAAGAAAACTGCCATGTAACTGTCTTAGTCCCTACATATGGCTTGTAACCTTCAAAGAAGCTAATCATATCTGACCATAAAAGAGGAATTCTGGACAGCCATAGGTACCTCACCCTTGCTAGATAATGTAATGTCTTATTCACTTCATGAATCACCCTATTGTAAGAAATTGCACCTCCATACTTCATTGTATTTCACCTCTTCCAAAGTTCCCATGTAATTACAGCTGGGGCTGTCTGAAATAATGGAATTATTTTAGGACAACACTTTGTGTTCCACCATGTTCTTATTACTTGATGCACCTGTACCACATTGACCACCAAACCTGCTGCTTGAAGGAAGTTTTTCCATACTGTAGTTGCAGTTTCACTAGTTAAGAACAAGTGTTGAAAAGACTCTTCTTGTGGTTGTGAACAACACCAACACTTAGACACCACCATATACCCACTTCTTCTCCACAAATCGTCAGTAGGAATCTTCCCCATCCACAATCACCATAAGAAGAATGAGATTTTAAAAGGTAGACCTTTAGTCCATATCTTAATGTAGTCAGGATTAGAGTGTGCTCTATGCCTCAAAATATTCCAAGCACTACTAACAGAAAAGTTTTCTGAGGGTGTAGGCATCCATCTAGGAACATCCTAGGAATCTTCAGTAGTGTCAAATAGGAATTCTTGCCTGATATGTTGAGCAATGTTCGCAGGGAAAGATTAAGCTAGTAGCTGCTCATTCCAGGTATCATCCACTCTCAATTCAGCTACTTCCTGTATATCTTCATTGATTGTATAGTCATTTGGAACAATATGGTACATAGCTCCCAAACTAGTCCAATTCTCATGCCAAACATTAGTAGAACCCCTATTCATTTCCCATAGTATTTCATGCTCCACCTCTTCCCTAGCTTCTAACATTTTCCTCTATACATGAGATCCTTATCTAAATTGGACAGTTGTCAGTAGCTCCTTTTTACAGTACTTGTTCCATATAAAGTTAGACCATAAAGACTTGGATGTCCTAAACTTCCACCACAATTTGGAAAATAAAGCTTTTGATACATCATGCAGTGATCTAAAACCTACCCCCCCTCCCCCCTCCTTTGGTAGGCATAGATTTTGCCATTTTGTCCAATGTCTACTTCTACCTTCTTCCTTTTTACTCCAGAAGAATCTCGCAAAGGTTTTATGAAGGTGTTCAAGTACGTTTTTAGGTGGATCAATGACAGATATGATGTGTGTAGGTATGCTCTATAGGACACTAGAGATTAATGTAGCTTTTTCCCCATAGGATAATAGCTTCCCTTTCCAAGAGTGTAGTTTTGCTTTTACATTTTTTATCAGGTCATTGTAATAATCCTTCCTTCTTCTTGGGTAGAATATTGGACAACCAAGATAAGTGAATGGAAATTCATCCCTTGAAAATCCAGTGATAGTACCTATAGAGCTGGATACTGTTGAAGACACATTAGCATGCATATAAAAGCAACTCTTTGTCTTATTGATCATTTGGCCTGAAGTGTGCTCGTACTTGGACAATACTTCTACAATTTTCCCTAAAGAGTATGGATCAGCTGAAGCAAAGATAATAGTGTCGTATGTGTAGGCCAAATGATTCAATGGATCAGTCCATTTATGCATCCCAAAGACCTTGAATCTCGTGTCTTCAAATAGTTTATTTAAAGACCTAGATAGTACCTCTGTAGAGAGTATGAACAAGGCTGGAGAGAGAGGATCCCTTTGCTTGACCCCTCTTGTTGAGTGAAAGAATTCTGAGGCCTGACCATTAATCATAACAGAATACTAGTTATTGGAAATTAGATTCCATATCATGTTGATGAAGCATTCTCCAAATCCCATTTTCCTCAAAACATGCATTAAATACTTCCAAGAGACCCTATCATATGCCTTTGCCACGTCAAGTTTGATAACTACATTGGCAGATTTTCCCCTTAATCTTATGTCAGTAATAATCTCTTGTGTTAACAGAATATTTTCAAATATACTTCTCCCCTTGACAAATCCTGACTGATTGGAAGAGATCAATGAAGGCAGTATTTTTTCTAGCCTATTATGAACAACTCTGGAGATAACTTTATTTACAAAATTGCTTAAGCTAATAGGCCTTAGGTCGGTAAATGTTTGAACCTGTTGTTTTTTGGTAGCAAGACAAGGTTTGTGTGGGTTATAGACTTATGTAAAGAGCTTCCTCCATAAAATAGTTTCAACATCTCATGTATGTCTTCCCCTATTATATCCCAACATTCTTGAAAGAAAATGCTTGTGAAACCATCTGGCCCACTTGCACTTTCACCACTCAATGCAAATACCGCTGCCTTTACCTCCTCTCTTGTAGGAATTCTACAAAGTTCTATGTTTTGATCACAAGACACCATTGAGGGCACATTGTTAAGGAGCCCAAAACTTGTATGATCAGCTTCATGTGTGAACTGTTTCTGGAAAAATTCTACTACTGCATCAACCATCTATTCTTGCGACTCAATCCAACTACCATCATGGTTCTGGATCCTCTTCAATTGGAGTTTCTGCCTTTTACTATTGACATGGTTGTGAAAGAATCTAGTGTTTCTGTCTCCTTCTACAAACCAGGACATACCTGCTTTTTGTTTCCAATATTGTTCCTCTATGCTCAGATATCTCTTTAACTCGGATTGTGCCTTCTGAAGTACAATTATATTCTCAACTTTTGGTTCTTCAAAAAGCATTTCCTTTATTTTGACCACATATTCCTTTAAAGCTAGTTGCTTGAAGATGTCCCCGTAAGTGATCCTACTCCATTTTGAAAGAGCAATCTTAACTCTTTTTAATTTCTATTTGAACATCAAGAAGGGGTCACCTATGAAGTCAGCCTGCCAATTCTGTCGAACCACCTCCATAAAAGAGGCATGTTTTGTCCAGAAATTCAGAAACTTGAATGGTTTAGCAAATGTGGTAGTCTTGTCACCACAGGTCATAAACAGTGATGCATGATCCGAGCTTGTTTAATTAGATGCCTGACCTCTGTAGTTAGGAATAGAGATTGGAATGGGAAATTAACAAAGATTCTGTCCAGTTTTTTAAATATGCATTCTGCATTTGGCCTCCCATTCCACCATGTGAAGGGACTTCCTTTGTAACCAGTGTCAAAGAGTTCACATGAATTTACATAGAAGGCAAAGTCTTCATATTCTGGAGGATAGACTGGAAGCCCTCCAATTTTCTCTTCTTCATTCAAAAGCACATTAAAATCCCCTCCAACTAGCCATGGTAGTTCTATGTCACTTGCAAGGTAGTATAAACTGTCCCATAATTCTAATCTCTCCAGTGATGAGCACTTTGCATATACGAAAGTCATCATGATATATTTACCAATATCTTGATGATAGACTCTGATAGTAAGCTGTTGTTCCGTGTCAATTAACAAGTCCCACTGCACAACTGAATCCAGAAAAAACCATATCTTACCATTGACATTTGAGATGGCAGCATCCATGCCTAGTCTCCTCCTATAGTTTTGAATAAACCTTTGATTTTGATAAGGTTCCATAAGTGCTATAACGAAAAAACCATGTTCCTTTTGCATGTTGATAACTCTCTGAAAGGCCTGTTGTGTCTTAACAGACCTTATATTCCATATGAGTATTTTAATCATCATCTAGTCATGGAGGCTGCCCTTTTGGGCAGTATTCTTGTGGGTGGTAGCCGTTCCTTTAGTTGGTTTTGCTTCTTTCCTTTCTTTCCCTGTTTAGTAGACAACCTAGGTGACAAATCTCCTTCTCTTCCAACAGCCTTGAAGTTCCCAGTAATGGATTCATTGTCACCTTCATCTTCTAGTTGCTCTTTATTGACCAAGGCAGTATGAAGTTCCATTGGTTGTTGGTTGTGTGTAATAATGTCATGCATTACATGATTTGTAGATTTCAATGGTACAATTACTTAAATCTGCATTGGAGATCCTGTACCTGATGTACAAGCCATAGACAATGTATTAATCGAAGTTGACCCCTTTGGGACAATAGCTGCACCATTCTGTTCATATACAATGATTGCATCCTTCACAACCACATCTTGGGGTTCTGAAGCATCATCACTGACCTTTTCAGTTGGTGTGGTTACCACTATTGGCCCTTGAACAGTGGCTAGTAATTTCCAAGTTGTGCTGCTGCTCAAAGCATTGTTGGGTAACGCATTGTGAAGCTGTTCTGTAATTGGCTTTTCATTATGATCATCAACTCTGAGTATTGTTTGTTTCCCTGACCCATAACTCTTTCGTTGTGCTTCATCAGTCCCTAGCTGTACAGATCTTATTGTATTGCCATTAGACATAGGAGATTCCATATATGTCTGTGAGGGAATATCCTGGCAAGAGTGGTTGAGTGTAACATTAAGGTTTTCCTTGTGCATTCCAAAACTCCTTTGAACCCAATCAATAGTATTTTACTTTGTAACAGCTGGTGTTACCCCAACAATAGTAGCAGTATTGTTTGTACCAATTCATGGATCTTTTGGATTGTCACTGGATTTGTCAGCAGTCCTGATATGTTGGATCTCTTGACTTCTGTTTGTTTCCACTATTTGATGTTTGTGCTGCTTGTCGGTTATCTGGTCCTTGCCATTGTTATCTGATTCATTCTGTCTATTAATAACAATTTCAGCAATTCCATTTCTTTCAAGGTTTATTTCACTTGTATCAATATGTTGAATACTGTCAATCTTATTTTGATCAGTAGATTGAGTAAGCTGTTGCAATGCCTGTTGAGAACAAACTACCTTGGGAGTTGTTTGGTCATTAGGTATATCATGCACAGTGTCATTATCTCCATCGGTTGCAGCATCAATAGCAGTAGCCCTGGCACTTAGTTCTGCTATATTCTCCAGAGCACTTGCCGTATCAGTTTGTGGTTTGGTCAATGAACCATAGTTCTGAGCTTTTGTGGTTATCTGTTTTGCATTCATTTGTTCATAAGGTTGTTTGTGTTTCTCTTGCTTGTTTTTTTGGTTGATACCTTTGAAATTCTTCTTCTTCTGAGATTGCCATTGATCCTTAGAGTGGTTTGCATTTATTGGTTATTGTGTTGTAGGTTTGATTTTGCTCTGTTGTTCTTCATTTTGGTCTTGTACCACTACTTTTTGGTTGTAGTTTTGTTCCTTGTGTTACCCCTGTATGATCTGCTCCTTTTGATATTGTATTCTATTTGCTCATTTAGTATTGTTTGATATCTGTTTGGTCTGAGTTTGGGGAGTTTCAGCAGTTGCTTATTTCTTGTCTTCTTCTTCTCTTTCTCTAACAGGGCATGAGTATTCTTCATGTCCTAAGTACTTGCAGTGTGAGCAGTATGTTGGGAGATCTTCATATACCACTTCCAGCCATTGTCTATCCCCGTTAACATCCTGATCTTCATCAAAGCCTAGCCAAACATGATGAGGCCTGAATTGAGTCAAGTTAACCTGCATCTTGGCTTTTGCTACACTTCCTCTTGTTTTCTGCATAGAGGCTAGGTCGAGATGCAATACCTTACCAATAGGAGACAACAGTACAGATAGAACCTCCATGTAGTAGAAATGCCATGATAGTTCAGGAATAACTATCCAAACAGGGACAATTGGATTATCCTCATTTGGATTGAAGTTGGGTGTCCAAACTTGTAATTCCATTCTTTGACCTTGGATATACATGGAGGTTTTTGTCCAGACAGTTGTGTGATCGTACTCATTATCTAGACCAAAGTAGACTGTGCGAGCATTGAAATGGGCTATTTTAACTCCTCCTCTTAGTTCTGTTCGTGCTATGAAGCTTCTCCTAATCACTTCCATTCAAGGCATTGTGTTAAGGAATTTCCCTACAATTGTATATTGGCATCTGGATGCAAGTGTGATCATGTAGTCCTTACTAGTGAAGATGACAGTCGGTTGGCCCTATTTGGTAGTTATTTTTGGGGGTGTGAACTCTATTGGGGCTATTTATGCTACCTGCCTTGCTCTTAATTTTGTAGCAAGTGAATGAGTTATGGTAGGAGGTGATGGGGCAGGACAGTTTGTTGGTTTAGGTGGCTGGTCAGTGACTTCTGTTTGGTTTAGTGTGGTTGCTGATTTTGTTGAGTAAAACTGGGTACTTTGGTGGATATTTGCAGTTGGTTGTAAGGAGTATGTGTGCTTTGGTATATGAAAACTGGTTAAGATGTTTGGATGTGTGTTTGCAGCAGATGTACTGATTGTTTGGCTATGGTGTTTGGTATGTTGTGTAGTTTCTGTTGGTGTTAACATCTGAGTGTTAGTGTGATGGTGCTTATTCTTAGTTGTATTTTTATTCTGGAAAGTAGGTGCTTTGTCAAAGTTGGTGGAGATCTTAGGAAAATTTGTTGGCATTGGTATTTGATTGAGTTGGGGGTAAGTTTGAACATTGACATTCCTAGGTAAATCAGTAGTTGTTGTATTAGACACATGTGCTGCATAAACATTACCTGAAGATGCCAAATTTGTTGTTGTAGTGATTGGCTGCACTTGAGTAGTAGGAGTTGTTGCGAGTTCCTTTTCCTTATCAATAGAGATTATCTCGACAGGTGAAACGCAGGGAATTCCATGGGCAGTCTGTGAAACACTCAAATTTTCCGCCAGTGGTCGAGCATCAATGATATCAACTGGAGTTTGAAACTGGACTTGCGGGTGACCTTCAGCAACATATGGATAATGTTTTTTGTCCAATTGAGTTTCAATTGGGGTTAGGCCAGTTGAAATACCAGGAACTCAACAGGTGTCATGTGGTGTTGTAGGTGACTACCTTTTATCACCCTCATTTGTTGTATTTTCTTGTAACTTCTCTTGACGACTAATCTCAACATGACTTTGTGAAGCAAAATCATTCATATATTAATCAAAATTGACATCAAAACTGACCCTGGCATTTCATCGAACAGATGGCATGTGTGATTCTGTGTACACTGTGTTCTGCCTTATTGAATCAAATTGTTCCTCGTGGTTGTTGTTTGAGGGGTTGGGATCAGTATCCAGATCAATTGGAGTATAGTGGCATTGGTTTTGAACAGTTTGGATATTTGTAACTCTATGCGCGACCAACAACTGATTGTTATTGTTGTTCACCCGTGTAGAATCGTTTCTTCGTGTATTGATGTTGTCTGAAACTATGTGTATCGATTGTAATTGAGGTGTTGAGTAATCTCCATGGCTTTGAATCAGTTGATTTGGTTCAGAAACAGTGCAGTGAGTTGTAGCTGCCTCCAATTGTTTTTTTGGCAAGTTTACAGTTCCACCATTGTTGACAGTTGCAGCAGATGGGGAAGAATCAATAAGGGTGCCTACATGGGGTTTGTGCGCAGGGTTGTTACGCGATTGTTGGATCTGGTCCGGTGGCTTTTTCACCACCGGGCGATGGAGCAATGACCATTTTGTGTGTGTTGTTACTGTTCCTGTTAGTCGTCTCTCTAGAGAGCATTTTTGGTATGATTATGTTTTCTCTACTTCATTTGGATTGTACTTTCACGATTTTGTAATTTCAATATTCTAATAAGAATTTTTTATTTGTCTTTCTTTAATATATTATATTTATCCTAAAAAATGGATAACAATTAAACTTATATGTGCTTTTAAAGATACGCGAATTAATTAAATACGAATGATAAATTGCATTAGATTAAATAGATAAATGACGTAAGAAATTGTCAAACTAATTAAGGGGAGTGATCCCGGACTCAGTAACAACTTTAATGAAATGTCTGTCTTCGATCTCGGGCTCACGATAATGTAGAACTGATGAACAAAAGTAATAACTTTGAATAACAGAGAAAATAAGAGTATATTGCCTTGATATGCATGTTACAATGATGCCTAATGAATAGTTAGACTCCCCTTTATATTGTAGATGGGTTTTACCCTAAGTACAATTCCAAAAGAGATAAAAATCTTCTGTTTTCTTAATCACTAATTTCCTGCCGATACGTGCCGAGATTCACGCCGTAGCATCCAGCTGGACACGGATATCACATCCCTTTGTTTGTCGTGCTCGATTATCTGGTAATGCTTTTCGAAGTTTTGGGGTTCGAATCAGACCTGGGGGATGTGGCCCCGATTCTTCTGAGGGCAGGTGTATTGCCCGAACCCCGACTCGAGGGGCTCCCTACCCCGATTCTGGCTCCTTACAGTCACACCTCTACTCCATTTACTTCATCGGGAACCGAGGCGTCCAAAGGGCTCAGTTTCACCCGTATACAGATAGTCCACTCGTTTCTCGGAGAGTACGTTTACGGAACTGACGAGAAACGACATATGCACTTCGATTCCTTCTTCAATACGCCATGCTAGAAATGACAAAGAATCCGAAAGTCCTATCAGTCGTGTCATTATGACTTCAAACACGCGTCAGCCATCGGCAGGTCATCCCTAAATCTGAAACGGCGCGAAACCTCTATAAACACTTTCCTCTTTCGTTCATTTTTTACCTTTTGACAAGCTTCTACCTTTGAGTTTTCAGGATATCAC